ACATACCAGGCATGAAGAGTAATTTGCTAAGTATAGGGAAGCTTGTCGAAAAGAACTACAAAGTAGTTGTCGAAGACAAGATGATGAGAGTTCTCGACACAGGTGGTAGATTAATCTTGAAGGCTTCAATGTCTCAGAATAAGACCTTCAAGATTGGACTCAATATGATGGAACACAAATGTCTAGCAACTGCAGCCAGTAGAGATGAGTGGTTATGGCATTTTCGACTAGGTCATCTCAACTTTAAAGACATCAGAGAACTGAGGAGAAGAAATATGGTTTCAGGATTACCAGAAGTCGACATTCCAAGTGAAGTCTGTGAGGAGTGTGTTCAGTCGAAACAACACAAGAATAGCTTCAGCAAGGATGCAGGAAGGAAGTCGAAGGTAATACTTGAAGTCATATACTCTGATGTATGTGGTCCAATCCAGGTGGATTCGATTGGTGGCAATAGATACTTTGTCACGTTTATAGATGATTACAGTCGAAAGCTATGGACTTACCTCATCAAGAAGAAAAGTGATGTGATTGAGGTATTTTCCAGATTCAAGTCCATGGTCGAAAGACAGAGTGGCCGAAAGCTGAAAATCCGGAGGACTGATGGTGGTGGAGAGTACGTGTCGAAAGAGTTCGATACACTATGTGTAAAAGAAGGGATTGTGCATGAGGTGGTGCCACCTTACACTCCACAACAAAATGGGATTGCAGAACGCAAGAACAGAACCATCATGAATATGGTGAGAAGTATGTTGAATGGAAAGCATCTACCTAAAGAATTATGGGGAGAAGCAGTTTCGACAGCAACATATATATTGAACAGATGTCCGACGAAGAAGCTTGAAGGAATCACACCAGAAGAATGTTGGTCTGGTGTCAAGCCTAGTCTCAGTCACTTGAAGGTATTTGGATCTATAGCATATAGACATGTGCCAGATCAGTTGAGAAGGAAGCTTGATGATAAGTCGAATCAGATGATCTTGATAGGATATCATTCGACAGGAGTTTACAAGTTGTTCGACCCAGTGAATAAGCAGGTAGTGATCAGCAGGGACGTGATCATAGATGAGCTTAAAGAATGGGATTGGACTGAGAATTCCAAGAAGGATTCAGTGAGAATCTCTTGTGAAGAACCAGCCACTGAAGTCGAAATAGAAGTTCGACAGGAACCAGTTGCAGATGAAGCAGGTTCAAGCAGACCTCGACGAACAAGACACATGCCTGCAAGGTTGCAAGAATGTGTAGTTACATCAGATGATGTAGTCGATGAGGAAGGTGAGCTGGTACATTATGCTTTCTACGCATATGTCGAACCAGTCAATGCAGCTGAGGCATTGAAAGATTCGAAGTGGATGAAAGCAATGATTGAAGAGTTGAAGTCCATCGAAGTCAATGATACCTGGTCACTTGTTGAATTGCCGCAAGGCAAGAAGGCAATTGATGTGAAGTGGGTTTACAAGGTGAAGGTAAATCCTAAAGGAGAAATAAATCGACATAAGGTGAGACTTGTGGCGAAAGGATTTCTTCAGAAAGAAGGAATCGACTTCGATGAAGTATTCGCACCTGTTGCTAGAATCAAAACAATCAGGTTGGTTGTTGGTCTAGCAAATATGAACAACTAGCACACATGTCAGATGGACGTGAAGTGTGCATTCCTTAATGGCCCCTTAGATGAAGAAGTTTATGTTGCACAACCAGCTAGATTTGTGAAACAAGGCGAAGAAAGAAAGGTGTACAGGCTTCATAGAGCCCTATATGGACTTAAGCAAGCATATCAAAATGAGGTTCCATTATCTTCGAGAGCAGGTAGCAGAAGGGAAGATGAAGTTGGAACACTGCAGAACTGAAAATTAGATTGCAGATATCATGACGAAGGGAGTGCAGGTCGAAGCCTTCAGAAGACTAAGAGCCATGATGAATGTAGAGAGTTTAGACACAATGAACTAGGTGGTGCGTTAAATATAATTCATTGTTTTGATTTGATTTGATATGATTAGATTTGATTTGAATATTTTGGGCCTTTTATATTTTGGGCTTTAGTAAACCTAAAACTATAAATAGGGTGCCTTGCTTTGTATTCAAACACAACAACATAGAACAGATTTCACAGTTGCAGTGTTTAGCAAGTGAAATTTCTATAAGCAATAAGAAATCCCACAGTTGTGGGTAACACATTCTCTCCAAATATTTTCTTCTCTCATTCTTCTCTTTCTTGTTTGTTCTTCTTTTCTTTTGTTGTTCTTGATAATTACTTGTTATTACCATTACTATCATATTGTGGGTTTGTTCATCAATCTTGAGATCAAGATTGAAGGGAATTCTTCATAGGGTGTGAGGTGAATTTCCAACAATTACAAGGAAGAACCACCTGTCAACCCAACTGATAAGTGATTTTGCATCACTTTTATTGGTTGTTTTACTTAGCTATTTTCCCGTTTTCGTTTGTTTTACCTTCTTTTATCATGTTTTATACTTTAGTAGTATGTTTTTTTATATTTTCAAGCTTTAACAAGTGTCCCAAACAAAAAAGGAATCAAAATGAACAAAGCGTGGAAAAAGTCGAAAAGACAAAAGAGGCTTTAATAAGTGTTTTGTTTCATAGTAGAATGTAGATGAAATGAGTGTTGAAAGATAAATGAAAAGTTAGAGTCTAGTTCTGAGAAGTATACATGCAAAAGATCTTCCATGTCGGGTATTAAACCAACTGAGAAAAAAGATAAATAAAAAAATAGAAAATTATCATATTTTGAGAAATTCATGCACATGATATTTCCTTCATGAATACAAAAATAAGATTCAATTAAAAGAACGTGATATTTAAGTAAATGATTGAACAAAATTAATATTTTAATTTTAAAAACTTAAATTAATTTTTGTATTTTTTTTATCTAACTATAAATTATTTGGTAATTTAAAAGAAATTTAAAAAAAAGGAATGAATCATCTGAAATAATGAAACGTCTGATCCCTAAGCCAATTGAAAAATAAACAAACAAAAAAAAAAGACTATAGCTAGGAATTAAAGTGCTAATTGTGTTACGTTTATTCTCGCGGTTGGTTCAAAACACTGATGAAATAGATTGTATTTAAAATATAAAATAAAATATGGTGCGCTCACAAAATATATCTCGATTATTTATTGGTCTGAGTGATAGTTTTATTATATAATATATTATTAGTATTAATAACTCATAATAATTGATGTAGGTATTACCACCATTAGAATAAAAACGTGAACTTGTTTGAAAAGGAAAAATATCTTTTTTTAGTCTCTTATTTAACCCTTGACTTCATATTGGTCCCTTAATACTTTTCGTGTTAGATTGGTGTCTTAACTCTTCAAAACATATCATGTTAGTCCTTTTCGTCTAATTAGCGAAGAAAAAATTCAAAAATTCGTCGCTAATTAGACATAAAAGACTAACATGACACGTTTTAAAGAGTTAAATGGTCAATCTAACATGAAAAAAATTAAGGGACCAATTTGAACCCAAAGGTATAGTTAAGAGACCAAAAGTGATATTTTGCCACTTGAGAACTACTATACTAGTACAAGACAAGGTGCAGCCATTGGCATTGTTTTTAAGGACAAGATAGACGCCAGTCAAAAACATAGTTCTTAAAGTTTTTGCAGGAAGTAGGGGTGGAAATAGGTCAGGTCAGACTAAACTTTGTAAGGCCGGAGCCTGACCTACTTTGAAATTCTTAAGGCTAGGTTTGACCTATATCTATCAAAGGCTTTTTTTTAAGCCTGACATTTTTAAATGTCTGGCCTGACCTGGTAGCCTTTTTAAAAACCTCTTATATATTAAAGCCTTTAAACAATCCATTCAACTATTTTTAAAAAGGCCTAAACAGGCCTTCATGTATTATTTGCCTTATTTTTGAATATACTGCTTATCAAACATTCATCTTGTAAGTACAATGTAGTACTAAAATATATGTTTTTTAATCAATTCTAAGAAAGCTCATAAAATAATTAACATAAGATATAGAACAAAATATAGTCTTTCATAAAGTATAAGATTAAAATAAAGTATTATCAAATACATCTAATTCCAATTTCAATAATACTCCTTAATTTCTCTAAAATTACTAAGAAATAAGCCACAAAAGAAATATTAAATCCTCAAAATTTCAGGAAGCAGTAAAAATAACATCAAATCTTTAAAGTGATTTGGATAGATTTCTCATCAACCTTAAATAAAAAGTAGAAATACATATAAGATATTGGATGAACATACACTATTTTATTAAAAAAAATATAACATTATAAAAAATGCTAAATAAGAAATTCTAACTTTTAATTTTTTTCTTTATATTATACTTTGACGGAACCAATACCCAATACATATGAGAGTTTCAATAGATTTTTGATTTAGTGTAGAGCGATATTCATCAATAACTCTACCACCAGCACTGAATATGGACTCCAATGTCACAGTAGAGATTAGAATAGTTAATATATCAATAGTCATCTTAGACAAAATATTATATTTCAAGTTGTTGTTCCTCCACCAATCTAATGCACTAAAAGATTTGTTATCATTAGGAATGTAAATACCTTCATCAAGATAAGATTGCAATTCTGATTGTATTGGAGGAACAACTTCCTTTTTACGGAGAATGCTCATGATTTGATCAAATACAGTGACAATCTTTTCATCCGCTTGAGAATACGACGAATTATTACTCTCCAAATTATGAATAGGCGGAGACTCTTCCAAATTCAGAGATACATACTTATCAAATAGTTGTTCCAATGAAGACTTAACCTTTTTTATATTCTCTTCAGCAACTTCGTCATATATATATATATATATATATATATATATATATATATATATATATATATATATATATATATATATATATATATATATATATATATATATATATATATATATATATATATATTTATTGGGAAAACATATATTCACCCAATGAAATTTGCACATAGGATCCAAAACACTAGCAATAGCCATTAACATATTACACCCCCCCTAATATTTGTCAAACTTTAATTTCATTGGCCTTGCCATTTCTCTCATGAAGAGATCTTCCTCTTCCATTGCATTGTCAATTATTTGGTTCATCCTCCCAACTTCAGCCAGATACAAGTTTGTAGTCAGATACTTGCTAACTGAGTTTTAAATGAGTAATTATATTACACATTTTCAAATAATGTCAAATTCATTAATAATAATAATAATAATAATAATAATAATAATAATAATAATAATAATAATAATACAGAAATAAAAAAATATGAAGTAGTTGATACATTACCTGAGATCACATGTGTAGCTAAATTAAACACTTCTAGTAGCTTGCAAACTTTCTCAACTTTCTTCCATTCTTGAAGAGGAGGTGCAAAATTATAGTGAGGTTCTCTTTCCATGTAGGCTAATTTCAAATCACTTGACAACATATCAAAGGTTGAATTCCATCTTGTTGGGAAATCAATAACAAGCTTCCTATCTTTCAAGCCCTTTTGCTCAACCACATCATAAGATGTTTTTAGTCTTGCGTCATTGAAGTTAACATATTTCACACTTTCACGAATATTGAAAATGATATTCTTAATTTTACTAAGATGATATTTCACTAACAAGTTTAATATATGAGCACAACAACAAACATAAAACATAAAGCCATCTAGAAACAACTTATTGTTAGAACACAGATTGGTTCTTAATAATATCTCTATGTTTTGATGATAACTATTATGAAATTTTGTAATTAAGAATTATATACTCTAAAATTTGCTTAAGAATGTTTGCTGCAGATATCAAAGTAAACATCACTCCAGAAGCAAATCAGAACTGAACATAAGAAATATGCAAGGCTCTGAAGCGTCAGATGCAACCATTAGAAGATTCTGAAAGCTGCCATCAGAAGATCCTGAGCGTTGTCTCCAGAAGGATCTGAAGCAGAAGCTCCAGAAGAATCTGAAGCAAGTCAGAAGCATCTGAACCTTTGAAGAAATTTTGTATGAAGAGTTTTTCAAGCATAGTTACTTTAGAAGACTCTAAGAGTACTAACGCTGCCAGTACTGAGGATCTGACCCAAAACTCTGCTCTGAACTAATACACGCTAAAAGCACACATGCTGCAAAGACTCTGATTCAGCAAAACTCTGATCAACATCAGAAGGCTCTGATCAAATTAGACTCTGATGGTTCTTGCTGAAAACTGTTGAAGAAGAATTCAAAGATTATGTCCGTTGGAATATCCAAACGACTCTTTCCTTATTTATGCTAGACACAAGACCACAGACAAAAAGGATTTCTCTGTGCTTTCTACTTCTAGGAAAGGTCACTTGATGTGAAGACAAAAAGGCTCAGACCTTTTGGTACACACTGCTCAACGTGAATTATCTCTTGGATCATTGTGCCTATAAAAGCAAGTTTCCACTCATCTTCTTTAGTTGACGCATCACTTGAAAAGAATTGATTATCAAAGCTCTCATACAAACTCATATATTCTTTCTAGAATTAATTTCTTTGTTCTTAATATTAAGTGAAAAATCACAGTTGTGATAAAGCTTTATTAGAAGCATTTTAACACTTGTATTTGTTATTACATTTGATTGTAAGAAAACCTTAAGAAGATTCAGTTAGGATCAGTAGTTCTTGAGAAGACTTTGAACAGTTGTTCTTAGTGCTTACTATTGTAATCAGTTGATTAAATAGTGGATTAAGTCCTTGATTGAGAAATACAAATCACTCTAGAAAGGGTGGACTGGAGTAGTTGAGTTCAACGAACCAGTATAAAAATAACTGAGTTTTATTTCTAAGTTTTTTATCTTCATACTTATTCAACCCCCCTTCTAAGTATTTTCTCACCTTCAGTTGGCATCAGAGCTCCGGTTCTATGTGTGCTACCACTTCACAATGACAGAAAAGATCCAGTGAGAAAAACTCTGATATATATTTGGTTGTTACTATGGCTGATAATTCAATGTCTAACATTAACAACAAATATGAAGAAAGGGACATAATCAACACTAAACCCCCTATGTTTGATGGGGAGAAATTTGATTATTGGAAAGACAGGATTGAAAGTTTTTTTCTTGGTTATGATGCTGATTTGTGGGATTTGGTCATAGATGGATATGTTCATCCCATTGATGGGAACGGCAAGAAAGTAGATAGAAAATCTATGACAGAAGCCCAAAAGAAAGAATTTAGAAATTACCACAAGGCTAAAACAATATTGTTAAATGCAATATCTCACACTGAGTATGAAAAGATCACAAATAGAGAAACTGCATTTGACATGTTTGAGTCCTTAAAAATGACTCATGAGGGAAACTCTCAAGTCAAGGAAACAAAGACTCTGGCTCTAATCCAGAAGTATGAAGCTTTCAAGATGGAAGAAGCTGAATCTGTTGAAGCTATGTTCTCCAGATTTCAAATACTTACAGCTGGTCTAAAGGTTCTGGATAAAGGATACTCTACTGCTGATCATGTAAAAAAGATCATCAGAAGCTTACCTACCAGATGGAGACCTATGGTGACTGCGCTGAAAATGGCTAAAGATCTGAACAAGATCTCATTGGAGGAACTAATCAATTCACTAAGGAGTCATGAAATTGAACTTGAGGAAGATGAACCTCAAAAGAAAGGTAAGTCAATTGCATTGAAATCTAATAAATCTGCTAAAGCGTTGCAGGTAATAGAGGAAAGCTCTGAAGAATCCTCATCTGAAGATGAAGATGAACTATCCATGTTGTCCAGAAGAATAAACAAACTCTGGAAGCATAAAGGAAAGAAGTTCAGAAACTTCAGGAAGCCTGACCAAAGAAAAGAATCTTATGGACACAGAAGATCTGGCAAAAAGGAGGTTGTCTGCTACGAATGTAAAGAACCTGGGCATTACAAAAATGAATGTCCAAAGTTGTTGAAAGAAAAGCCTAAAAGAAAATCTGATAAGAAGAAGAAGGTTCTAATGGCAACCTGGGATGATTCAGATACATCTGAATCTGAATCTGAGTCAGAAGAGGAATGTGCCAACGTAGCATTGATGGCAGACATAGAAGATCAGGAGGAAGAAATTTCAGGATCTAAATCTGACTCTGAATCTGACTCTGACGCTGAAGAGGTAATGGCTAAACTCACTAAAGATGAACTTATCAAAGTGTTATCATAGGTTCTGAAGAGCTATAACAATATTAAGTTCAAATACAAGAAGCGTCAAAGCAATCTTGTATCTGAGAATAATATTCTCAAATCAGAAGTAGCTGAGCTAAATGAAAAGAACCTAAGATTGAAAAATGAATCTGAATTAGCTCAACAAGACTCTGATTCTGAAACTGAATCTGAATGCAAAAATATTTTGGAAAAATATGATTACAACTTTCAGAAGTTTCTTGCTAAAAGCATAGACAGAAGCAAAATGGCTTCTATGATCTATGGAGTTAGCAGAAATAACAGAAAAGGAATTGGATATAAATCTTCCTCTGGAAAGGATTTAAATCCAAGACCTGTTGATAAAATTATCATCAAGAAGACTCCTTTATATTCCCACTTAAAATTTGGTCACTTAAATGATATTGAACACACTCGTTCTGAAAAGAACATTCATGTGTTTAAATCTAAGGCTAGTAAGAATAAACCTTATGTTGAAAAACAGAAGTTTAGACAAACCTTCAGAACAACTAACCCAAAAGGACCCAAGAAGATCTGGGTACCTAAAAGTAAAATAATTCATGTTGCAGATGTTCTTAGCAGCAAGGTCAGGACACCAATCATGGTACCTGGACTCTGGATGCTCACGACACATGACAAGAGAAAGGTCTATGTTCCAAAGACTGAAGCTTAGATCTGGAGGTGATGTGAAGTTTGGAGGGAATCAGAAGGGCAAGATCATTGGATCTGGCACTATTGGAAATGGTAAACTTCCCTCTATTACTAATGTTTTACTTGTAGAAGGATTAAAGCATAATCTATTGTCCATAAGTCAATTAAGTGACAATAGTTATGACATAACCTTTAATCAAAAATATTGCAAAGCTATTAGTCAAAAGGATGGCTCTATCCTATTTAGTGGAAAGAGGAAGAACAACCTTTATAAAATAAACCTTTCAGAACTTAAAGTTCAGAATGTTAAATGTCTTTTGTCTGTTAATGAGGAGCAATGGATCTGGCACAGAAGATTAGGGCATATTAATATGAGACGTATATCTTAGATTAATAAACTTAATCTTGTCAGAGGACTTCCTAATCTGAAGTTCACTTCAGATGCTCTTTGTGAAGCATGTCAAAAAGGGAAGTTTTCAAAATCATCTTTTAAATAAAAAAATGTTGTTTCTACTTCCAGACCACTGGAATTACTTCATATTGATCTGTTTGGACCAATGAAAACTGTATCCATCAGAGGCAAGAAGAATGGATTAGTCATTGTTGATGACTATAGTAGATGGACATGGGTAAAGTTCTTAAAACACAAGGATGAGTCACATTCTATGTTCTTTGACTTCTGCAAACAAGTCCAGAATGAAAAAGATTTCAAAATTATAAAAGTCAAAAGTGATCATGGTGGTGAATTTGAAAACAAATATTTTGAAAAATATTTTAATGAAAATGGCATTGCTCATGATTTTTCCTGTCCTAGAACTCAACAACAAAATGGAGTTGTAGAGAGGAAAAATAGAACTCTGTAAGAAATGGCCAGAACCATGATCAATGAGACTAATCTGGCAAAGCACTTTTGGGCAGAAGCAATCAACACAGCCTGTTACATTCAGAATAGAGTGTCTGTAAGACCTCTTCTGGAAAAGACTCCATATGAACTGTGGAAGAACAGAAAGCCCAACATTTCATATTTCCATCCTTTTGGATGTATTTGCTATATGTTAAATACTAAAGAAAATCTGAACAAGTTTGATTCTAAAGCACAGAAGTATTTCATGCTTGGGTTATCTGAACGCTCTAAAGGCTACAGAGTATACATTACTGAAACACAGATTGTGGAAGAATCTATTCATGTTAGATTTGATGATAAGCTTGGCATTAAAAAGCCAAAGCAGTCTGAAAACTCTGCAGATAGAGAAGTAGTCTTCACAGACTCTGAAGGCTCAGAGGCAGACAAAGCTCAAGTAAAGGAACCAGAAGCAACGCCAGATGCAATTCCTTTAACTTCTCAGATGAACAACTTAAACATTTTTGAAGAATCAACTGTTAGAGGATTATCTTCCAGAATCAAAGCTTCACATCCAGAGAATGTTATCATTGGAAAGAAGGATGACCCTATCAGAACAAGATCCTTTCTCAGATCATCTGAAGCATCATTATTTGGATTGGTGTCAGTAATTGAACCAACTTCTGTAGATGAAGCTCTGCAAGACAATGATTGGATTATTGCCATGCAAGAAGAGCTAAATCAGTTCACCAGAAATGATGTGTGGGATTTAGTTCCAAGACCAAAA